AGAGTTTAGTTAAATTTCTTGTGTTGAATTAGTAGGCCATGCGGTATTCCTATGATCAATGCATTTAAACAACACCTGGTTCTGATTTGTAGAACAATTCTAATAGGGTAGGCCTTCTGGTTTCTTGCTAAATGAAGCTAGAAAAATATTTTTGTATATCTTTTTATTCATATATTTATATTTTATTCATCTATCTATTTCTCAACCTATCTATAAATAAGTTCATATAAGCTTGAATATTTACTTTAAAATGATAAAATGAGTCGCTTGTTTCAAAACAAAAACAATTCCTCAAACAGATAAACAAACCCTAAGATTTGTTGGGTTTTTTTCACAGAACTTTCTATTGCATACTTTTTCACCATCAAGTAAGACTAAACATACTGATTTGATGGATGAATCATTGTAGTTAAACCATTTCCATACTGAACTATTCCCAAGCCTTCCCAGGAAGCGCACGCAGTCGCACGCCTTGTTTGTCCACATTTAAAGTAATTTTTTGAGACAAACTGACCATAATTTAACTTAAAAAGCATTTTAATAAAATTTCAATAAGAAAAAAAACAATCCTAAAAAATGGAAACAAAATTGTAACAAAAAATTAAGTCTAGTTAAATAAACTAGAAAATTTAATAATTAAAAAAATAGTAAATTAAAAAAAAAATTTATACAACTTTTGTATTCTTTTTTTTTAGAGTCATTGTGGAAAAAAACATCTTTTACAACGATTTAACAATTGAAAGTTTTGATATGCAATTTATTCACAAATTTTAGCAGTAGATATAATTAAGAAACTAATTTGCTATGGACGCTAGAACTATGAGAAATTTTGTAAATTTTTTTTCTTACATTTATTTTTTTTTGTACGCCTTTTTGCTTTTAAAATTATTTTTTCTATATTTGACGTTTTTTTCTTAATACTTATATAATAGGAAAATGAGAAAATAAATTATTATTTATTTGTAAAATATATTATTTGATAATTATATTTTGTAATGACAGAATAAGTTAAATAAAAAAATAACATGGTTTCTTTAATAAATTTATTTACCACATTTGATGCATGTCTGAAAATGTTTCTTTTATATTGCCCAATTTTCAATGTTAATACGAATTACTAGATATAATGAACATAACGATTACTCTGTTTAAAAAAATGTATATAAAAACTTAAAAAAAAGTTTAGACTCCTAAACATTTCGTTAAAAAAGTTCAGTAAAGTAACAATGCACTAGCCCACAAGCTTTTAGAGCATCGTCAATAACAATAGTTTATCAGGAAATAAACAATAGTTCATCAGGAAATAACTCCGGGTTTAAATGCACAATTTTAGATAATCCTACAAAAGTGCAGACTATTTCAATAGGGGTATTGAAAATAACTAAATATTTTATATATAAATATTAGTATTAATGACTTTATTTTTTTACACAAAAAACTTGTTGAAAAACTTTTTTTTACAAATAAATAGCAATTAGTTTTCTTGCTTTCCTGTGCATTGATAAAAACCATAAAATTTAACAAAAATATTTGTAAAACAAATTTAAAAATCATCCATGTTTCTAACACAAATTATAAAGTATTTCCTTAATATACTGACTGGAAAAAGTCGCAAAAACTTTGTATATCAAAAAATATTTTTATTTTCATTATATCTATTTTTTTCCTCAACTATCAATTTTGGTAGTGGAAAATAACAAACGCCCTAAAAAGAAAACAAAAACTGTAAAAAAGTGATATTATTTTTTTTAAAAACAATTTCTCTCTCAAATATTCCATTTTTTTAGCTGATTTTATCTAGATTTTCTATTTCGTATAGTATTTGGTTCTTTCCTTCGAGTATTGCTGTTTTATTCTATTAAGTTTCTTATACTTTTATTTTGCCACAAATTCTTAAAACACTTTAAAAAATTTTATATAAAAATGTTGTTAAGTTGTCTAAAAAGATTACTTTTTTTTTTTTTTTTTTTTTTTTTTTACATTATTCACCTCCCCAAGGCCCGAGGGGGCCACTACAGTCGAGGAGGCTACTCATTTTTTTGTGTTTTTTTTTTTTTTTTTTTATTATTTTTTTTTTTTGTTGTATTTCGTGGTACAACCCTCTCTCAACTCTTTAACTCCGAAACACGAACCTTGACAAGCAAGGCCGCTGCGCGGAGAAACTGAGTTGAGCGCGGTACTTCTAGGGACGTGGTGGGAGTCGAACTCCGAACCTCTCGCTTACAAAGCGAGCGCTCTTACCACTACACCACTGCCGCATATATACTTTAGGCGTGAACAAAAAAGGCCTGTGACCGCATGCGCTTTTTGGGAAAGTTTGATTTCTTTTACTACCAGACTCGGTTGGGAAGCGGATGCGATCGCACTCGATAACTGACCACAGAAATATTATTTAGTTGCGAAAAACCGGCCAGATTTTTTAGTCGTTTTGAGAACATTTTTAGTCGTTTTGAGAGTTTATGTATGTTTCCTCGTTTGGTCGCAAAATAATAAGTCCATTTTTTCGTAAATTTTAAAATATTTTGTTTTACGGACTTACATGGAAAGGTATATAAACTTGAATGTTCTCAAACATCTTAGTGCGGAAAAATAAAAAAAGAATATTTGCGAACACAAAAAACCCGCCAAATCTACAAACAACTAATTCTATTGGTTCTAAAAATACTAACCGAAATTTCTAGAGTATTCAAAAAAAACTAACCAAATGTCCTGAGTATTCTGTTGAAATATTTTAAAAAACTGTATCATTTGAATTTGATTACGTTTTTGTTAAGATTTCTAGCATAAATTATTTTAAGAGTATACTATCAAACAAACCATTATTTTAATTCTTGGAGCCACATCTACAAAGCTATAAATGTTTTGAACTAACATTTGTTAACAATAATAAATGTTTTAAATCTATATTTTATAACTTTTCAACGTTTTGTAAATATATTTTAGATTTTATTAGTATATTCTTTTTTTTATATGTAAGGAATTTATTTTTTATGTATGTAATGCATTTTTATGTATGTAATGTATTTTTATCTATGTAATTTTATGTATGTGTATTCTATTCAAATGTAATCTTTTAAAGCAATTTGTGCTATTGATTTTGTAAACAAAAATACTTTCAATAATAACTGCATTTTTAATGAAATTATTAATAATCGTCAAAGTTAATACAAATAATTTTAACCACTAATCCATTTTCCTCAGTGTACCCGATAACTGATTCTTTCTCCCAAGAAAGAAAAGTTTTTAAGTTTTTAGAAATTGGTTTACTAACTTCAATTATTTTTGCTTCAGCCATTCTTACAAACTCGTTATACTTAAAGTTACTTTTTTCTGTTTTAAACACTAATTAAAATTATGGAGCCCACTCACTAAACATCATCAGCGGTATTATGAAGCAGTTTCGCTTCCTCCTCACAACGTTTTTTGTTAATTTCTATCTAGCTAATTGAATTTTTACAGTAACTCATTGATTTAATTATTTCATTTGTTCATCTTATTAAGAAGAATTGTTTCAAATGTGTTAAACTTTTTAAACTACGCGAAGCATAAAACAGTTATTGAAAAAACTTTTTTATTTATAAATAAATCGTTTGGTTAAATCTTGTTGGACTTTTCAGGGCTGGGGGCATTTTGGCGGCATTTTTTGTGTCACAGCCTAAAAATGACTTAAAAAAATACTTAATGGTCCTCTTGACTATTTCCCCTAACATTGTAAGTTCCGGGGCTATAGCCCTACTACCCCTACCCCACCTCCTCAATCCAGCACTGGAAATAAAACATAAGTATATAAATAAAAATTATATATACTCTTTGATAAATCGAAGAACATTTGTTTCTTTATAGTTGTTACTTTATATAAAAAATGTCGCTTTATTCTATAAAAAAAGTTATAAAAGAGCGATGTTTCAAAAATTGCTCTTCGCGTTTTTTTCGAGTTAAAAGCTATTTTTCTTTTTTTAACTGTCTCTTGTCGGTCCAGTTGCGCTTTTTTGTTTGTTTTTGAAACAACTAAAAAATCTGGCCGGTTTTTCGCAACTAAATAATATTTCCGTGGTCAATTATCGAGTGCGATCGCACCCGCTTCCCGACCAAGCCTGTTTTACTACCAGCACAAAGTTTACTCAAACTCATCGTGTAGTTGTGTTTGTTTTCAATTGGATTTTTTTCAGTTTGAATAAATATATTCGAACTATATAATAACTATACTCAATTAAGTTCAAATAATATATTATATTATAATAATTATGTATATCAAACAGTTCAACTCGTTTTAAAATTAGAAAGAAAATATTTTCATTTTAAATTAATTTTTATTTCAGTTATTTTCCATTCAAAAATTTGAAATTACCGTAATTATTCAGTTCTCGCTTTTGAAATAAATTAAGTTATTGTTTTCGTAAACGAAAGGCTTTTTTTTTCCTTTTTAATCTTGTGCACGAATATATCTGTCTTATACTCAACACAATGAATTCAACAATCGCAAATCACTATGGTCCAAAGGCATTTTTCAATCGGTTTAACTTTAATATAATGGCATATATTTTGTTTTTTGTTCTACTTTTTTTTTTTACTTCTCTTTTTTTTTTTTTGCCTTAAAAAATATGAGTTTAAAAACTGTTGAGATATATGGGGAAAACAAATTAGTTTTTACATTTTTATTGTTGGGTAGAAAAACAAAAAATAGGATATTTTTAACATTTGATTATTTTAACAAGAATAATTTCTGTTTAATTCAAAAATTTAATCTTTAATCAAATATCTCAAATAATTAAAACCAGAACATGTTGAAACATATTAATACATTTCTGAAGGCAGAGCAAAAAAATAACATATTATGCAATTTATATTGGTTGATAATTTGTACATAATTTCTGCATTCTTTAATTTATGCAGTTTGCTGTCGCTTTTGCCCAGCTTGCTGTCACTTCTGTTTACAATAAATAAATTTTTTAAAATAAAAATTCATCAATGGGAACAATAAAAATTCATAAAAAACAAACCTTATTGGATCCTGAAAAATTCGATTGATACATGAATAAAACTGATGACTTATATTCTAAAAAAAAATTATTATATAACAAATGAAGATATAAAATACTAATACAAATATCTAAAAAAAAACAATTATAACAAAAAAGGCTTTAACATGTTTTAAGGTACTTGAATATTTTAATATATAATTTTTATTATTATTTTATATTTTTCTTGCACCGATAATTTGTAATTTATGTAATGATTTTCTGAAAGCTAAAATCTAGCTACTCGCTTATACACAAAATATATTTGTGTATAACTGAGAAGTTTGGAATTGCACCACCACCATGCCCCTGGTACTATGGCACTTTACTTGCTGCTCCGCGCAGAAGAGAAACAAGTTAAGTGCCATAGAAATAGAACGTAGAAAATTAAAATAAATTTAAATTGAAAAATTACAAAAATTAATACTTTATATAATTTGTGTACTGTTTTTATTTTTGTTTCTTTAGGGTGGTTGTTAATTTCAGCAACGAAATTAGATAAGGCAAAACACAAAAAAAAACAGCTTTAAGTCACCATTAAAAATAATGATTTTCCTATATTTTATCAGTTGTTTTTTTTTTTAAAGAGGAAAGTGAAAATATAAATTATATCTGTTAGTAAAATATATTTGTAAAACCTTTATTGTAACAATTACAAATTGACCCTTTATGAATGTCTATGTAATGTATGCCTATATGTTTATATACACTCATATGTTGGTTTGTTCATGTATGTGTATATACGTATCTACCTCATAGATTTTATTTTTACATCACTTTTTTAATTATATATTTATATTTATTTGTTCATTAGTAAATGCATGTTTAGCTTATTTTTATAGGGTGTTTACTTGATACACAGAATGTCCACGGTTCAAATCCTATCACTATCCAATTTTTTATTGTTTTTCTTTTAAATACTGCTGCTCATATATTTGTTTTGTAACCGTTTATCTTTTCTTTTTTGTATATAAAAAATCTTTCTGTTGTATGTTTTTGAATGATACACATCTCTTCACATTTTTCTTATAGCATTTAAGCCTCTCAGTGCATTTTCTAAGTAAGGCGCAGACACATATTAACATAGTTTTCAATTTAACTGTTTCATATTACCTTTTATTCCTATAAATTTTTTATCCCTAGTCTTTTAGCGCTTTGTAATTTTGGATACCTGTTGCTTTTTAACATTTAGCTTAGTTCCCTTAGTTCTACCCATCCCCTACCTTTTGGGCTACTACGTTATTGGTGAAATATACGTAAACAAGTATTAATAAATCTTTGCTTGAATTTTGTACTTTTATACTGGACATCTGTTCAATACCTTTTAATAGTTTTTAGCTAATTCTTAATCTAATATAATCTTTTCTTCTTCCATTAGGCTCCTACAGCTGTATGTGTTCCACTAAAGTAACCGGCTTTTGAGTCCAGTTGGGAATGATAGATACTAATGTAACAAGTATATGTATTGCAAAAAAAAAATCTTTAAAATATCAAATTTAATAACAACCACCCTTAAAAAAACAAAAACAAAAACAGTATGCAAATTATTCAAATTATTAATTTATTTATTTTATTTAAATTTATTTTAATTTCCTTAATTTGTTAGTTTTGCCTTCTTTGTTTTTGAAACTGTGTTTTTTCCTTTAAATTATTGAAATGCTTAATAAAAAACTTGCAAACGAGCATGACCAAATTGTCTATAATAAAAAACTTATGCATGGACATACAAGACAAAAGCCCCGTGTCTCCTGGGAAGGCTTGTATAAACAATAACATGAACTAGGCAGATTTATGACATCAGTCTATGACTTTTGTCCATGCATGATCTGCATTTAAATAATTACTGGGACATATCTGTAACTTTTTAATAATCTTTACCAATATATTAAATATTACTTGCACAATACAGCATTTCAGTAAAACTTATATTTAAGATTAAAGAGAGATTTAGTAACTAAAATTTTAATTCCCCTATTTAAATGCATGACTTAATGTCAAACTTAAATTATTCTTGGATGACATAAACTATATCTAACATACTTTGTTTACTTAATATTTTTAGAGATGATATTTAAAAGAAAGTAAATTGAAGATATTGTTTTAAAAATTCTTGACATTTTTTAGATTTGCCTATTTATTTAATTAATTTTTTAAAAGCTCATAATTAAAAACTTTTAAAATAATTTTTCTATTCTAAAAAAATTTTGAAACACTTTTGTTGATTAGATTTGATTTTACAAAAGTATTCCATTTTTCTTACCTATCCCTTCCAACTTAAAATTCCAATTTTCTTTTTATAGTTATTAATATAATGCCATTAAACCATTTTTTCATTCGATTATTCTTATTTTTAAATAAGAATAATAGCATTTATAAACTATAACTACTAATAAATTTATTAAAAATAAAATCTAACGAAGACCAAAAAACATTTGCACTTCTGTAAAACTTGCAGCAACACTTTATTATGTTTTGTGCAAGTTAATCATTTATAATGATATAATAAATAAATAGTATTAAAATAACTACATTTTCTTCAAATAATAATCAACAAAATTAAATGTGCAAGTTAATTATTTATAAGGATATCATAAATAAATAGTATTAAAATAATTATATTTTCTTCAAATAATAATCAACAAAATTAAATGTGCAAGTTAATCATTTATAATATCATAAATAAATAGTATTAAAATAATTACATTTTCTTCAAATAATAATCAACATCATTCACAAAAAACTGAACTAAGGGGATTTAAAAAAAAAAAGCATAGCTAACATATTAGTATGGGTCAAAAAAAAACTCAATGTTAATTCAACTCAAAAAAAAATGTCACTCTCTTCGTTTTAGCCAGAGGCTATAAGAGAGTGAACCTTCAGTTGGTATTATATTATTTAAAACCAATGTTGATATAAAACCTATGATATTTGCTGGCAAATATTTTATTTTGTTGTTATTGTAAAAAAATCAATTCAATTTATTATTATACTGAATCAAATAACTAGTAACCACGGAAGATGCAACTATACAAACTATAAAAGTACACTGGTGATGAAAACAAAAGTACACTGTAAATGCAAGTTAAATCTTTATGCTACTAACAGTTAAAAAATTAAAAATTCTAACACTATTAGAATTTTTTAGGTTTTAATGGATATTATATATATTCATTTGTTTGCTGTTGCCTTAAAATAACTTAACTTATATTTATTTAGCTATAAATTTAAATGCCAAATTTTTTCTAATCTACAATTGTCAAATAATTTTTTCTATCAAAATACGTCTTAATTAGAAAAAAATTTTTGAAGTTGTTTTTATATAACTATATAAAGTTAAACAACTGTGGGTAATGTGATACAAAAAAGCATGAGTAGTTAAAAAATAACCTCTTATTATTTGTAGAAAGCAAAACAATTTGATATAGCTAGCTTTTATTACCTGCTCATCAGTCATATTTTGCGACACCATCGCATCTACTGCTTCAACGGCCATCTTTGATAGTTAGCGGCCACGTTAATATTGTTAATTCACGCTTTGAATTATTAAAGCATCTCCTTATTTTATATGATTTTTAATTTTAATACTTAATAACAGAAATAAAAAGAGCTTTCCGCTAAAGTATTTTATAATATATTTTGACCAAAAAAAAATTCAAACAAGTTAAATGCCAGGGTTAGATTTCATAAATAAAAAAATATGTCGCAAAGATGTTTTGTCTTATACATGTCTGAGCGTTACAGCTCCAAAATAATTTACTCGGACTCAGTTAGGTTAAAAGGGCTAGGTCTTTAGGCAAACAGATTTTGTTCCACCAACAAATCTAAAATTTAAAGTTTAAATAACTAAATAAGCTAAAACTTATTAGTTCTATATGTCATTATATATAAAATAAATATTTATGCTATTTATTTTTTAATAATTGTTTAGATTAATAACTATGAGTCATAATGTAAGAAAAATTGAACATATGACAATAAATCCATATAAAATAACTTACTTAAATGGATTATAAATTAAGCACAGGCGAAGTTCGTTTAACTTCGCCTTTCAAAGTTAAACGAAGTATAATAGCGAATATTCGTTAAACTTTGGTTTCGAAGTTTAACGAATAGTACGATTTGTTTAGCGATTAGAACTATTTGTTCTAAATTATCTAATTATCTTTACTTTTTTTATTAAAAAAATTACAACAATATAATATATTGCGTAATAAAATATATATTGTCTAATAAATTATAGATTTTAGTTTTTTATCGCTTTTTCAAATCGTGGCAAGAATGTTACTTTGATTTGTGCTTTTTTAACAATGGGAGTGCTGGCTTATGAAAAAAAAAACTGGACTCTGGAATGTACATTCATTTTGTACTTTCATTACTACAATGTTGGAACCAGCGATTAGAAATGCAGATGTGGAAGCGCCGGTGTTTGTTATGGACAATTGTAAATTCAACTGGAGTATTTATGTTAGATAAGCACTAACCTCTCATGGCAAAGCTATTAAGTATCTGCCAGCATACACGCCACAGCTTAATCCAATAGAAGAATTTTTTTTCTTCTCTAAAGCATACTTACAAACAGGGAGAAAGGCCTCGAAATATGGATGGGGTAATCAAGAAACTTAAAAGTATTATGGATATTACAGTTTAACTAATTTCATTTTACAACCATATGCGTAGTTACATAAATCCAGCGCTGGCTCGGCAATCATTTTTTAAATAAATAGTAGTGGCAACAACCTAATTTATATTTTAAATATATCTGTATAAAATATAAATGCCTATTTAAATAAATGCTCTGTGATAAGACCGCAAGGACTTCTTGGGGCACCTAAATAAAATTAAAAAAAATCAAGTAGAATAAAAAGATAAATAAAAAAAATGAAATAAATATAAACGCGCATATAAGAATGAATAAACACGCATATAAGAATTAACAAGTGCGCATATAAGAATGAATAACCTTGAATGAACCCTTTCTGTATTTTATAAAATTTTTATAAAAGTATTGTAAAAGTTATATTTAAAGACATTACTTAATTTTTAAAATTGATATTATTATATTAAATAATTATTCAATATAGAAAAAAATTGCTAGATCTTACTTCAATTGTAAGTTAATCGTAGTTTACACTGTAAGTTCATTATCACAGGGTTATGCGGAAATATACATTAAATTATGCGGAAATATTAACACTTATACGGAAATATTAATTATATTGTGCGTAAATAAAAACTTTTTTAATATAAATATTTTTATACAATAATATACATTTTTTAATGTAAATATAAATATTTTCATATATTAGTTGCGTTTAAATCATTTTTCATTTATTCATTTAGTTTCTTATTTTAATTTTCTTATTTTAATTTATATTTCTGCATAAAAAAGTTTGTGTTTCTGCATTTCCCTATTTCCAACAACAACTCGCCTATTTACTTATGTTCGATAATGATAACTTCTCTTTGATAACTTTACTTTGATAATAACCTACTTCTTCCAATAGTTAACACTGCATCTTCTTTATATCACAACAGTAGTACAATTGTCTCTACCTTGGCTCCAATTCAGTTTCATTTGCTCTTAGGTAAAGTGAAGGAAAGGATCAATTTTGTCGCCCCACTTGTATAACATATACACCAAAAATTACTTGAAACTATCAAAAATGAAAACTTTGTTGGTATTTCTATACATGGAAACTTCACAGGTGTTGTTGCTTATGCTGACGACATCATTATGCTTAGCTCTACTCTATCTGGTCTTGAATGGCTTATAACAAGGTGTAATGATTACAATAACTTAAACGGCATAAAAACTCAATCCTGTCAAAACAGAAATTTTAATCTGCGGAAAATGATAACCTAGCCAGCATTGTGATACAGGTACCGTGTGAGACCCATACGGCTCGTCAACTGGACCCCATATGGGTAGCCCTCCGGGATCCCGCAGATTTTTGGCCGCGGTTTCCATCTGGGGTCCATATGGGTTTATCAGCCGGGTTAGCCGTATGGGTCCCAAACAAATCTCACACTATTAACCCGTAAGAGACCCATATAAATAGCCCTCCGGGATCCCGGCGGTATTTGTCCGCGGTTCCATCCAGGCCCAAATGGGTCTACCCGCCTGGGAATCATTGCAAAACTAAAATTGTTGAATAAAATATAAAAGCGAAATTATATAATTTTATATGCTTATTTATTTCGAATAAAAAGCATATTATAATTACATTTTTATTGAGCAACTTTCTAAACAATTCTGTAATCATGTATTATCTGTCTTCACAGTTGTCTCCAAATTAAAAGCTTTTAAATTGTTGTTAAAACTACTTCTTTAAGCAATTCCTTCCCGATACAATATCTTGTTTCAATGAGTGCTGTAAAACAAAATATTATACGTTATAATATTATATTATTATATTTATACTTAAACATATTGTAAGGTTTTAATGATTTTTGCCTTACACTCTTCAGATAAAAAATCTATTTTCTCACAATATTTTAATCGTAATGATTGGAGGAAATATCATCATCGACCATTAAGTTGGTCTCTTAAAAAATCTCAAAAAATTCCCTACATAAAATCACCCAGTTATTCAAAAAAGCAAGACTAAGATCATTATTATTATAATTATATTTACTTTCATCGAACCAATCGAATTCATCAATCGAATTATTACTTATTAAAACTGCAGACACATTCTGGTTTTCAGTCAATTTTAACCATCAGCATGCAAATAATGCCAACAGTAATTGTTTATCTATTGCAAATCATTAGAAATATTCTCAACTCTTATGCTGCAAGAAAACGGAAAAAATAAATAAGTATCATACATATAATTTTACAAGATATAATAAAACATAGGGGAGAGTCGGGTAGCCCCGGACACTTAAAAAATATATAGATTGTGCTCATGTGCTAAGAAAAAAAAGTGTCAAAAGACTTTTTTTAAAAGTTCAAACATTCATCAATCGAATTAGAAACAAAAAAATAATTATTGTGTATCTTAATAATATACAAAACATAAAAGAAAAAATGTTAGAAAAAAAGCATGTTTTAAATTTGGAGGGTAGCGCCGGACACATAGTTTAACCATGATTTTACCTCTTTTTTACCAGAGTGACACAAATGTAATATATAATAAATTAGCATTGGACTGTTCTTGACACATTTTTTAAAAAATCACCTTATTTTAAAATTGCATCTGATATATAAGGAATGAGAATGAAAATATTATCATTTAAAAATATAAACATAGCATTTTTATAATGAAAATAAACACTTTAAAAACACTTTTTTCAAATCTATTGTTTTTTTATTGGAATTAAATGAATTACTGTTATAGGTTTGTGTACTATATTAAATGTATTAATATTTATATAAAAAAGTTGTTTATTATTAATATGTAAACGAATTAAGTTGTCCGGAGCCACCCTCCAAACATGTGTCCGATACCACCCGATCAAACCTCATTCACAAATACTACCCGGTGGGAAATCGGCTAGCGAATAGCTAGCGATATTCTTTACGATTAAGACAGCGATTTGGCCACGAGGATCGTTAGCTTTATAAGCTAGCGATCCGCAAGCTAAACAAACTAGCGAATAGCTAGCGATATTCGTTACGATTAAGACAGCGATTTGGCCACGAGGATCGTTAGCTTTATAAGCTAGCGATCCGCTAGCTAAACAAGCTAGCGAATAGGTAGCGATATTCGTTACGATTAAGACAGCGATTTGGCCACGAGGATCGTTAGCTTTATAAGCTAGCGATCCGCTAGCTAAACAAGCTAGCGAATAGCTAGCGATATTCGTTACGATAAAGACAGCAATATGGCCACGAGGATCGTTAGCTAAATAAGCTAGCGAATAGCTAGCACTAAGTCGTTACGATAAAGACAGCGATTTGGCCACGAGGATCGCTAGCTTATAAAGCTAGCGATCCGTTAGCTAAACAAGTTAGCGACAAGTCGTTACGATAAAGACAGCGGTATGGCCACGAGGATTGCTAGCTAAATAAGCTAGCGAATAGCTAGCATTAAGTCGTTACGACAATGACATCGATTTGGCTAGAAAATCTCGGCTAGGTTAGAAGATATGCTCAAAGAATCGCGTGCTATATTTTTCAGGGGAGTGAATTATAACCATTAAAATAAGATTGCATTTATAACAAATTAAATACAAAATGTTAATACTTGTTTCCATAAAAAGTTATAAATGTTAAAGCCATTATAAAATGTTAAAAGAAAAGTTATAGATTACTTTTGAAAAATAAAAAGTCATTAACAACTAAATGATTTTGCCTAAATTAAATTAATAATTTCAAAAGATATTTAAAAAGATAATAGAATAAAATTTCTGTCAAATTTTAGTTTTTTTTAAATCTTTATCAATTTTCGAAAATAATTGCTAAAAAAGTTGTAACAAATAAAATATCTAAAAAAAGAAAAGTCAATAAAAAATAATAGAACAAATAAACAAAAAAAATAAGTTAACTGGAATCACTACATGAGTCAGTGTTTAAATTTGTTTTTTTTCTAACAGGACTGTGTATTTGTATATCACTTGTTAAAGAAGAACTTCTCTTTCTTGCAGCAAAATAACGATCTTTAGACTTTTTCAAGTGT